CAAGAAGTATCAAGACCATTCAGCAGCTATGAACAATTCATATAAGTAAAGATCTGCTGTTCAGTCAGGCCATCTAGCAGTCATTAAATGACAAATCAAAGAATATGACGAGTTGGAAGGGACCCACAAGGATCATTGAGTTCAACCCTGCACAGGACCATACCCATACACCACGTGCCTGAGAACATTGTCCAAGTGCTTCTTGAACTCTGTCCAGCTTGGTGCTGTGACCACTTCCCTGGGGAGCCTGTTCCAGTGCCCAACCACCCTCTGGGTGAAGCATGTTTTCCTAATATCCCCACTAAACATCTGACACAATTTCAGGCCATTCCCTCAGGTTCTGCCACTGGTAACTGCAGAGAAGAGATCAGTGCCTGCCCCTCCTCTTCCCCTCACAAGAAATTGTAACTGCAATGAGGTCTCCCTTCAGTCTCCTCCAGGCTGAACAGACCAAGTGACCTCAGCCACTTCTCGCATGCCTTCCCCTCAAGGCCCTTCACTGTCTTTGTTGCAGCAGTCAGAAAATTTAAAAGACATGACATTGTTTTCCCCACTGCAATCTAGAAAAAAACAGTCTGCCACTCTAATTTGCAAGGATCTTCTTCTTCTTTTCTCTAGCCTTTTTCTGGAATGTTTTCATAAATTTCCAAGATTACCCCTATTGCAGGCAGAAAGGGTTGGAACCAACTTGGGTCACAGAATCACTTGCTTCCTTCAGATTTCCTAGAGAAGAGGGATTTTTCTGCTCAATCCTGGAGTACTATTATGTCAGTCATACCTAACCCAGAATTGATTATTTCCTAGAAAGGTCAAAAGTGGTTTTCTAAGTCATTCAGATATTTGTACATTCACACAGTATAAATCCTTCACTAAGAAGGCCTTCTATCCAGTCCTTCTTTCTATTTCCAGAAAATACTTACAAAAGGATACTTTTGCTACTATTTTCATGAAATTATCTAAGCACACATGCAATTGGAGACATAACACAAGAACTAGCACTTCCTCTAGGAATGATGAGGAGAGATTAAAAAGGTTCAGATTAAATGGCTGGAGGGTGAGGGAAGTGCCCTGTTAGCCCCATGTTGTGAAATGACCCCAGGAATGGCACACATCTGCTCAACTGGACTTCTGACATCAGTTTCTTGTTTACCACAGTTCCAAACAACCTACATTCTCACACTTGACTAATGAAACACATACCTTCACAGTAGAAAAAAACCATAAAAAGTGTAATGAAAGACAGTTTAGGTCTTCAAGCTTCCTTAAATAAAGAAACAACACCTAGCCACGTAGGTTTATTTCATACTCAACCCCTTTTCCCCTGCATATTGCAAAGAAAGTTTCAGTCAGACTTTATGTTCTGTGCCTGGAACTCAATCAATTCAGGAGGAATATTTGATAAATTAAAGAGGTTATTTGATAAATGAAAATGTAGCCAATCTCCTGAGCATGAGTAGATTTTAACTTTTCAAAGACCTGCAACAAGGTCAGGTTTTCAGATGGTCAGAGGCACAGCCTGAAATGTCTGCTCCAAAGCAGGGAAACTGAGCAGAGCTGCTAAATGAGGTACACATAAATGCCTGATTGTTTTTAACAGCAAAAAACCAACCTATTTTCTCTAACCACATTTGGATAAATGGGTAAGTCTTTAAATAAGAGTAGTTCAAAGAGACACTGTCAGTCTCAGGTAGATAAAGCAGCATCGGGCCAAGTGGGAGGGCTTAGAAAAGTTAAAAAAGCAAAGCCAAGTTGAAAACAGTCTCTTAACGGAAGTCCTGCATGGCCTGTGCTTTGCTCAGTTCTCTTCAGGGGCGGGGACTATGTGATAAAATGCTTACATCATCACTTCATCTTATGCATTAACAATGGTGTAAATGGGAAGAACGGGGAAGAATGGGAAAACAGTCGTATTTCATCCAAGCAGCTTCCCACTAGCTAAGTTTCCCTTTTACATAATCCCACTCTCATCCTTACATGTTAAAATAGTAAAACATAGTAATACAGAGGCTTTTCTTGCTAAGTCTTCTTTTTCTAACACATTTATATTGGAATGAATCACAAATAAATCCATCACCTGGCTTAAAGGTTTTTGTTTCTTTGCCACATCAAGTCCAAAGATTGCATTGCATGGACATTGGTAATCTCTGTGCTTTAGCAGAAATTTTGCACAGAATTCAAAAAAAATATGTCTTTCATTGCAACAAATCAAAGTCCATACAAAATGCTTTGATGTCTTTAAATTTGGTGGTTTTTTCAATCTATTTATTTTTGTGTTTGTATTTACATCAAAATAATGGGGAAGGCAATAATATTAGGAGACACACGCAAAAAGAGCACATTTTTTCACTGCTGGTCGATGTGCAATTTCTTCCAACTCAGTATTTGTATTAATCTAAGTCAGTCAAAGTCAGTGCTTTGTTATAAGAACTTAAGCCTGCACTGAGAACATACCTGTCTCTGTGGTATTACACGGAACTGATCTGGAAGGATATTATGCAAGTGTACACAATACACTCCAGGGCTACACAGTATACTGTTATGTGCCAGTCTGCAAGGTTAAATGTTTCAGAACTTGAAAATGTTTCATGTGAATTGGATCCTTAAAGGATTAAATGTAGTTTGCCTTTGGTTTATGTAATGCTGTATAGCAGTCACACAGACTAATTTAGGGATGCAGTTCCTTTCTCTATTGTAAGGAAGATACAGGATACAGATACATTGCAAACTGTGAAGACTGCTTTATTACATGACAGCTAAAGCTGAGCAAATAATTCACCTTGAATCATTTGTGCATTTACTTTTTTCATTTTTGTTTCAAGAATGCCTGAAAGAAGATTACAGTCTCTCCAACATACCTCTTAACTAAAATTACCCTGTAGAAATGCTCACATGGTTTGCTCTTACATGCCTAATGTTCATAGCTATGCTTAGTTGTGACTGACAACAAAACTTATCATAGGCTGTTCAGGCTGAGTGATCAGCAACAATCGTGTTTCTTGTACAATGCGCTTTTTTTTTCCTTGTAGTACCTTGTTTTATCTGGTATACTTTTCATCAAGAGCTTAACAAGTTCAGGTAAATATGAAATTAAACAACAAAACAACAACAACAACCCCCCAAAAGTATTGTTATTCTACAGATAAGAAAACTGAGTACAAAGAAGTTAGGTAGGAAACCCTGGCCCATCTCCTGCAGCATACTTCATTAATGTGGTGGTTAAATTACTCAATGTGAAAGGAGAAGAAAGTCCAACTGATTTAGAATAGCGAAAAACTTAGTTAAACACATAATTTCTTATCAGGATAGAGAAAACTTCAACAGAAGACTTCACAGCCTGGGAGGGGGAAGGTAGACATACCTGTGGAAGGAAAGGAATTTTTTAGTCCAGAAGCAGAAACACAAAAATTGAGGTACATCCAAAAAGAAATCTTACAGAATCACAAAGAGATCCCACTTAATTTTACTTTCCTCTTCACTTACAATATTCACAAAGAAAATGACAGAATTCATCAAGTTTTGTGAATGCCAGAGAAGCTCCTCCAAATGAAAAATAAATAAAAAAAATTAGTTGTGGAGGGAAAAGGATCAATAATTACCATCCCAGGAGAGCAGTAGCAACAAAATACTTCTATTCATCCAGATACCAAGGAATCAGCCTCATTTATCTGCAGCTATCACTCTGCAACTGCAGAGATTAGGTTTCTCAAGTAATCCAGGCTGAGTGTTTTCTAAAGCGAGTGTTATGACAGAATGCAGAAGTTACCAGTAAAGATGAGGAGAACGTTGTTATCTTTAAAGGACATTTTAAAAAAATTCTGTCTCAGTGCTTTTTACCTATTCTCAAATAGAGCAGCAAGATGTTTTGAAGTTTTCTTCTTGCAATGAACCCAGGTGGTGGCTTTAGGGGACACAAACTGAGAGGTTTCAGTTTGTTCTACATTTGCCATGTTAATTCACAAGAGTTCAACACGGCAAAAGGTAGTAAGTTCTTGATGTGCAACTTAGCAAGCAGAAGTTGTTAGTATCATACAGCACTGAACAGCACAGGTGATTCCAGAACAAAAGAGAATCAGTTATCCTCCAACTTTTCACCTTTTTAGTTTCTTATGTGGCACAAAATATTATCAACTTGATTCCCCAGGACACTAAATTCACCCTTTACTATACATGTTTAGAAACAGAGAAAAATCAAACTCAGGATATTTATTAGCTCCCTCATTTTTCAGTAGACATTCCTCTTGGGAGAGCTGAGTGTACGTGTTCAGAAAAAGTAAGATTACCAAGCTCTTTTCTTCTCTTTTTCCTGGTTTCTGTGATTGTCAGGTACTGGATTAAGCCACCATGAGAATTTACCTTATTACAAAAGGGTCTGACAGAATCAAATGATAAGTATCAATTCCTCAGTGCTCCAGCCACAATTCACCTATTGGATTATCCCACTCTTTTCTCTTAGCTTTGCCTCAGAATATTGCTCACATTACTGTTAGCTTCTTTTTAATGCCTCAGCACAAAGCTGCCATTCCAAGTTTGCGCAAATTAGCTCTAAATTTTTTAATTACTAAGACTTTAAAATGGATAAATATTATTTTAACATGAGATCTAAATAAATCTAATTGGAAAATTTCCAGCAAAAGTGGATTATTAACAGGGGGTGGGAGGGAGGCAGGGAAGACAGGCACTTAAAAAAAAAGTTTTATGAGTCCTAAATGGAATTTCTAACAAAAAGAGATGTGTCAAGACAGGGAGAACTTCAAGAATGACTGGGATGCCAGTGCTCAAGTAGAGTTTCCACTGAGAGGAAACAGGGTTAAAGCAATCTAGAGATGAGATGATTGCCCTTCTATTTACCTGTGTGGAACAGGAAGGACAATAAAATATACTTCTCCATGCTGTAGTAAAGATAACTTGACTGAAGCTTTTAAAAGAATGAGAAGAGGTTATAAAAACGCTCCGTGCATCGGTATTTGTGCACACTGCATATTATCAGCTGTGAAACTTACCTAAAATAGCAACGACTTCATCATCCTGGATTACTTCCAAAGACCCTGAAACCACAAAGCAAAGGCTGTCGACGCTCTCTCCAGCGTGGTAGATCAGGTCCCCTGGAGCACAGTGCACTGTCTGAAATTCCATGGCGAGCGCTCGCAGGCACCCATCGCTCGCCAGCCTGAAGGCTGGGTGCTCCTTGAAGACTTTGCGGTTCAGATGCACACAGATATCTGCTCTCATGTCCTTGGGGCATATCTGCAAAACCTGAGAAGGAAATCAGACAATCAATTCCTGTGTGGGGCTTTTATGTGCCTATTACTCCTAGTTTACTACACAAGATTTAAGAACTACTTTCCTCCTTCTTGTAAAATTTCTAATCTCAGTCTGTACATTTATTTTTATATTATTTACACACATAAGCCGTAGTGCTAAGTTAGTCTACTTTATAATGCCTGAAAGAAAATACTCTTTTTATCTCAGCAACATGCTGTGCTGGATATTGAACTACCAGGCGGTCTCAGGTTTTTAAAACAATAAAACTGAGGGCACAGCAGTACAGAAAGTGTTGAAGAAAAGCTTCCTGAAGGATTGTTTCTAGAGGGTAGGTCACTTTTTTGATAGGCAGATTCCACTAAAAGCCTGCTCAAATTATATGCTCCAAGTCATAGAATATTGTCTAGAGGAGAAGCGTGATCGCACATCTCTTTAACACACAAACAAACAAAAAGTTATTTAAAGTTTAATTGACTCATAATATTGAGAACTGCAGGTATTCAAATTTACCCCTCAGTGGCACTAACAAGATTTTGTTTACACCAGAAAGGGATTTCAAGGTATGGTGCTATGTTGGGCAAGCTGATCTTCCAAATGCAATGTTCCTCATGGCAATTCATGATGTGTGCTCCTAAGAGAACACAAACTGATGCTTAGCACAGCGGGTACCAGGTAGGGCCATTTCTAAAGCTTTTAAATATAATAGAGACAGCAGAGTGGAAAGAATACAAAATTACTACCGCATGTACAGATTAAAAGTTCCTGGCAAAACCACTGGAAATACGTAACATGAACAGGGTTTGGAGATGACAAAAACCTTTGGAGGATAATCTATGATGAAGTACATCCAGGACATATTTTTTGAGGAAAAACACTGAATAGTCTAAGTCTGCCTTTAATTTTTTCACTAATAACTATTCCATCCAATTAAGGAACATTCTGGTTGAGCTTCAGAGTTACTCCCACACATTTTCCTAGATGGTAAGAGAGGAGAAGATGAAGTAGCCTTTCCTCAATGGAAATATTCTGGAAAACATAAAGGTAACACTGGAAGCAGTACGGCTATGTCTGCACCTTACAGTGGGGCTCCGTGCAATATCTGAGCAGAGAACCAAGCTCATAATTCATGGCACTGGTTCCAGATATTATACCTGGTACTCCAAAGGTAAATGACTCTAACAGTAATATCATTATCTTTGTCCCACCTCCAAGTAGACCTGTTACTACAGGTACTACTTCCAAAAAGATATATCTCTATAGTACTTAAGTCGTGATCTTTTTTGGGTGCCCCACATAGAGCAGCAGCTAAACCCCCCAATTCTCACTTTTCCAGGCTCACAGAAGTGGGCTGGGGCAGCAAGGCCAACATTTAGCATGGAACACAGGTAAGAGACATAGCTGTTTATTTATCTCATTTATTCTAGCAACAAAAACATTCTGTACTGGCAGATTCTTGACAAATTTTACTACAGGAATTACACACACCCTTTGCAGTTACTTAAATATAGTACACAAAAAGGATTGCTGTAGTAGAAACTGGAATATAAAAGAGAGTATTTAAAATTATGTTCTTATCCAAAACCCTTGGTTTTCCAATCTAAGAGGATGTTAACTCAGTTTCTATTATCCACTTACAGAAGTTGTCTCCAGACTTCACAAAAATTAAAGGGATTAAAGACATTTGAGAGTTACAAATGGCAAAAGACTTTCATTTGTATGGGAGGTAAGAAATATATATTCATGGATTAATTTTAGAATCTTGCAGTAGCTCTTGGTTAAATTTTGTTAAACTGGCATTTTCTAGACTTTATGGTCTTTGCTTTTAGCTGACTATTCACTCCTTAGTATGTCTGCAGTTAACACTAAACTGACAAACTTGTGGCCTACAAAACAGTGACAAGAGCAATTCTGTGCTAAATCCATATTTAAATATTTGCCTCATCTGCAGGAAGCTGCACTGCATTACACAGTAGCACAACTACCACTGTTCTATCTCACAAGCAATACATGTTTTATTCATTGCATGACATCCTAAAAGTTAAACACAGGCATCAAACCAACAGAGCTCAGGCCTGGGAGTTTATGGATTGGCAGAGCCGTTAGTGAGCCTTACACCTGCTGGCTTTTCCTATGCAGATGAAAGTTTGTTCTTGGTTTACCAGCCATCACCAGTGGCAGTTCAGCTATGAACACACCAGCTATTGAAAACAACTCTGTATTAGGCTCTTTGCTGTCCTGACAATTGGAGACTTTTCCCCTGTTATTGAAATAATTATCAAAGGCTACAGTGAGAATTGTTGTGCTTGGTTTGGTTATTCTGCTGTCTTCAAATGCATTCTTAGAGCATTTCTCCCTTTACCAGAGGAAGTCAAGAATGAACTTTAAAGATAACAGAAAAAAACCCATGTTTTACATAGCAATTTTTTCTTCTTGCTTTGTTAAAATGATGACAGTAGCTTGTAATGGGGGGTGAATGAAAGTAGCAGCACTCACTACATAATGTATCCTCAGATGCTCTCTCCATTTTCCCTAAAATGTACGTACCTCAAATCTATAATCCCACACAGCTTCCAAACAGCACTATCCAGCACTAAAGTACCACTTCTTTCTGAAAGCCAGTATGAGAGCCAGTGCTTACAGAGTCATGGTCTTGGATCTAAAAATGGCAGATAAGCTGAAGACATTTCGGAGAGCAAACAGTACCTGCTGTACCTCTTGGTCTCCAGACAGCCCAGTGCAAGGCCACATCTGTTCTACTCCTTCATAATGACACTTTAACAGCTATACAGAAATGACACTATTTGCTCTTTAACTGCATCATCTACAGTTTAGAATACTAAATTAAGCTGCCAGCCAGAAGGATGGTGACCAAAGCATTAGTATATTTTTGTGAAAGATTCACCGCATAAATCACATCTCTTTACAAGCAGAAGAAAAACAGTATCTATCTCCATAAAAGCTGGAAACAAATATAAAAGAGGGAAGTAGTTGCTTTTGTACATTTGTTCTAGCAAAAGGCCATTTGTCATTTTAAGATACAGTGGGAAGTTACTTGTAAATTCAATGAATTAAAATGATAACATTTGCCTCACATAAGGTAGATTTCAAATAATACATTATTAAATACTTCCTGCTTTCATTAATATCTTTAATCTGCACAGAGAATGTTACATTCAAATTCTACAGACATGTTTTCAGGCCCACAGAGCTGCAAACAACCTCACTCAGAAATAATACAAAAAAGTCTCATTTGGAGAAATTGTGAGATTGTTATACAATTCGGAACCTGTTATTTAGTTATTGTCCTTATTTACTGAAAACCAAGCTTTTTTTTCATCATTTTTTTACAATTTCATGCCATATCACTAGCCAAACACACATACTTTTACCACTAGCATATGCCAGTATGACAGAATAGCTGAAATACTGTATTTGAAAGTTTAAAAGTAAGGGAAGCTACTACTTAGAACTATTTAAAGAATATTTGTCTTTTTTACTAAGACAGTACCTCCTGTTTATTTTAATGGAATACTTTCAGGATGTGACTTCTTTCCTCGCAGTTTAATTTACTTACCTTTTCAGTATCTATTCCTCTGGACATTGACCAGGTGGAAACGATGTAATCCATCACACGTTCACTCAGTCCTTTAGGGACCTGGTAGAGCTTTAGAAAGTCCCGGACACTGTTCAGCATTTCATGGTATCTGTTTGTATTAGCATACATTTGCTGAAATATGGTTGTCACATTACCAAAAATGGTGGCATACAGAAGGGCTGTGAGAAAGAAGAAAAGCCATAGAAATAATACATAATTAGCAACAGCGATCAGTCTGTGTTCCACTGTGCTTTATGACTGGAAATGCCAGGTCCTTAAAAAACGCATGCAATATCAGTGCTGTATTAGGAAGGCCTGATGAGCACAAGCATTTTATAGGTCACCTTCAGCATTACCAACTTTTGGAAGGGCAGGTCCTGCATCATGGAGTTGCTGAAAAACAACTATTTGTCTTTATCCATAAAACAATTCAGTAGTACCCAAAACCTTAAGAAACCACAACAGAAGACAGAGGAATTTTAAGACAAATAGCTTGACAGCAAATACTTTAAATTTTCATCTCTGGTTTATAGCGCCTGTGTTGAAATGACATCAGTGACAGATCTCTAAGCTTTAAGTGCATTATCAGAGTAGTAAGCTGAGTCATCATTACCCACCTCAGTGTGACAACGACAATGCATCAAAGCAGAAGATGGAGTATGTAATAAACAGCTACCATGGGTCAGTAATTTATAGATGCAAGTTTAATAGTATATAAAAACTCACATTATGTTTTATATTCTTCAGGCAAAAGAACTGCAAGACCTGAGGCAAGAGCTATAGCCCTCAGAGGTAGACCACTGCACAGCCCTTCTGACTTCAACACAGTTATGGAGCCAGCTGGTTCATCAAGATGGGTTTAAGAATAAATATGAGAAAGAAAAAAAGGCAGTGTTTCCAAGTGCAGAGAGAAGCAAATGAAAACACACAAGATTTGAGAAGATCTGCCTGCTGAAGCCAAAGACAGAAGAGTAGGCTGGTGGCAGCCTCAGTGGTCATGTTTTGGTATCTTTCAGAGGCTGGGGCTGAGGGTCTTCCAGCCAATCCAGCCCTGAACAAAGGGGATGGACAGGGAGCCTCAATGGGAGCTTTCCTTTTGTGAATCAGGCCGGTGATATGTGACAGGCTGGCTGTAGAGGCAGAAGAACAGACAGGCTGCAGATGCCATGATAACCACCAGTGAGTGCTCTGGATTGCTGAGTAAGTTCTTCCTCTTTATCATTTCCTGTCCCCCAAAACAGGCATCAGGTTATCAATATCATATCTCTTCCACTCAAGATAAAAATAAATAACTGAGAAGAGAGTATTTTTCCTTATCTAAATACCCCTTTTTGCTGTTTATTTCCTCCTTCACCACCTATTTAAAAAAAAATCTCCATCCCATTCCTTCCTTTGAGAATGCAGCTATTTATTCAGGTCAGTGTTATAGGTAGATATCCTTAAGGCAACTAAGATGCTTTAGGGTTCTATGACCAACAAAAAACCTTTGATATTGTGCAACAGAAACTTACAGTACTGTCTTTCCCCGATCATCAAGAGATGTAATTTAAATTTAGATTTGCTCAAAGCCTTTAAGCAGCTGATTCTCTACAGAATTCCTTCTTGATGCTGCATGACTTCTTTTCTTTTTATGAGTTTTTATAGAGAAGAGTTTTCCCTTTTTCCAACTACCTCTCTGTACAAATGGGTATAAAAATGTACTGAAAAATGTGCAGACTTAGTTTAAAGACAAGTAAAGAATATGAATAAGGATACAGTGACCAGAAACATATATATTATATCTCTGTTTAACCTTAACTTGTGCCTGAGCGAAACCTTACCAGGAAGTCTGATGCAATGTGTAGGGAAGAATGATAAAATGCTTTAAAGAAGAGATTTACCATAGTAGTTCCCTAGTCCACAAGTTTGTATTAGAACAGCATTACCTTTCCCTAAGTCCTGGTTTGCTCTCTGCTATGCAGATGCAAACACAACCCAACAGGACACTGCAGTAGCACGAGGCAACCACAAATATTGCTCTTCTGCCAGCCAGCACAGCACTGAAATAGGTGACAGATTAGGAAGAGGGTCACAAGCACATCCCTATCTGTAGATTTCTGGGCAACCGTACTTGTGTCCATACAACTCTCTGGCAAACAACGAGACCTGGGGGCTCGGTGCCTTGGCATGTACAGCTCTATGCCAGCAAAGGTAAAATGGAGTTACTGCTCCGTCCCATTAGTTTCATCTAAATGAAGCCTAAAGGAAAAACCAAAATTTGCTTTCTCCATTTTGATTATTATGAGGCAAGCAATTTCCACAGCAAACTGCAGCTCCAGTATGACAATTATCTTGACAAGAAAAGTTATTCCTGCCTAGATTAATTTTTCATTTTTAAAAAATTCTCAAACTTACAATTCTTAACTTATCATTAGCTAACCATTTTATTACTATTAAAGACACATTAAAGCCAAGGATTTTTGCAGCCTAATATTGGGTAGATACATTAGCATATTAAACATTAAACTCTTCTGCATGGAAATAGCTGGCTACGTGCCTTTCCTTCTTTTCAAAGGAATAATGAAATGAACCCACTGCAGTAGACTGCAACCCCAGAATGATTTCAGAAACATACACTCTACTACAGGAAGAAAGTTGGGCTACTTATGACAGAGCAAAATCGCCAACGTATCCTCTCCATGAATGTCAAGATCCCTCAGAAAAGACAGCCCCCACACACACATTAATATTCGTTTCTAACAATAGATAAAAACACATTGTCCCCAACAATGTGGCTACCCACTTACAATGCAGTCTGTGTTACCCCATCTAAACCAGTGTTTGAATAATGTCAAAGATAAAAGCACAGCAATTTCCACAGCAAATTACCCACACAAGTGAATCTTGAAGATCAGACACAGGTTGGAAAGGTCACCCAATCATCTGCTACTTTTAATGATGTAACAAGTAAGAATAGAGACATAAATACAAGTCAGTGCAGGTCTCAGCTACCACAGTAAAAGATCTGGGATCTGATTTTAGAATTATAAGAGGAAGAATTTCTATCTGTAAGAATGAGAGGTTTACAATTACCCCAATTACAGATTTAAGTGTGGCATGTGGTTCCTGAGATGAATCATCAGATTGATGATGATTTGTTCAAAATGCACTCATCCAAAGCCCTCGCATACAGAATGTGTGCATGAGAACTACACAGCAACAAGTGAGACCAACATCAACTAGTGAACAACCTCTTACATCTTGCCCCAAAGGCATGCAGAGCTTTCTGAAACCAAACTGCCTTCACTTTCTGGAAAGCTGATTCAGCTGATCCAGATTCCATCTATCTGCATATAAGTTCCACTTAACAATTAAAAAACCAAACCAAACCCCTCTTACATACTGTGCTAACCTAAATATTATTCAAAGAGCAAGCACCTGAATTTACAAATAGCAGATGATTTAAATGTATGATTGCACTTCTGTTTCATCAACAAGTTCCTAGTTTACAACAAATTATTCAATTCATGGATGGCTGTGAGAAATCACAGCCTTGAAAACCTGTTGCACTACATTACTTCTCACTGAATATGAAACACAATTGTAAATTAACAAAAAAATTGTATGTCTCAAAGGCATTTTTCAAATAACACATTGTGAGGTCACACAAAATTAACATTGATCAGATAAAAATAAAAGCAGAAATTAATAATTGTTTGTATCATATCATAATTATACGAGAAAACCACATTATTTTTAAATGTGCAATTAGAACAATGTAAGAGCTTATAATTGGTTGAGATTAGAGGTCTTGATTAATGGTAATTATGCTTCTTATGGGTAGAGAGCATGCAGTTTAAAGGAAACAGCTGAACTGTTAATTACAATCTGCAAGCAAATACCGAACTGAACAGGTATCTATCAATGAACTCTTTACAGAATTAGTTTTGATAGAATTGTTGTTTGCAGTCTTGCAACTTGAAATCAAAGCATCTAAAGTAAGATCTACTGATTGAATATCTACGTAACCTTCTAGAATTAGTACAGAATTCAAATAGGCTGCCCCATTTTCTATCAAGACAGAGGCAGAATTGTTTAATTTCCTACTTCTTAGGAAGCTTTGTGTATTATAAAGTTTCCTATTTGTAATCTTTCATCTACCTTTTGTTTTTTACTATTACAATGCATGGAGATAACATTTCATTCAGTTGTTAAAGAATAAATGTAAGCAACTTAGCCATAATGTATTAGTTCAATTAATACTAACACTTCATTAATTTTAACAATATATTTACAGAACATTTTCCGTGGTAGAAAACAAATTACAATTGCTACTATCATCTTAGCATGTACACCAATTCCTGAATTTCACAGTTTGGGAAAAAGACATTTTTTAAGTGAAAGTAAATTCCCAGAGGAGCTCTCCCCCATGTTGTCCCAGTAACTGTTAGATCCTGCTCTTCCCACAGCTCCCTATTCTCCTGGACTAAAACAACAAATACGCTGCACCACCTCCCTCTTCCATTCCACCAGTTTCTAATTTGCACCTCAGAAGAAAGGCAGTAGCAATGGCAAAAATCAAACTGGCACACTACTATCAATGGAGCAAGTCCAAAAATCAATCCAACAGTGAAGAGCAAAGCTGAAAGCCTAAATATGCCGTGAGGGACACGCGCATCAAGCTATGTGGCAGAACCACTTGACTTCTAGGACGAAAGATGAGAGACCACATGCAAATTTTATTAAAGTCTTAGTCAAATCCTACTGCAAATCTTCTCACTTTCATCATCACGTTTGCTAAAATCACCCTGCTGACAACAAAACTGGGACACAGAAGGACTACACTGGGCTCCAGCTACAATGGAAATGTAAACCAATGTAAACAATGTACACCAATGTAAACCAATGTAAACAATGGAAACCCTGCAGACGGACAGGACACCAGTGAGGTCACAGCTGACAAAGGCTGAACAACAGAGCATCAGATACATAATCTTTTTTCATCTTCCTATCACAAAAAAACCCAAGAACTGCAATGACATGAAAGTCAGCAACATAAACAAGGGAACAGCTGCTCCAAGAAGCCACTTAAGCAACTACAAAGGACTAGAGTAGTAGAAACATCTGTGCACTTAAAATAGGCTGTCTGCAGTGTGTAAGGGCAGAAAAGGAAGAGTTAAGGACAGCTATGGAACAAACA